TGCTGATTAAAGCACCTGTCTCGTATATCAGAGTGCCTGGGTGTCATACCCAGCTCTACATGGGAGTCTTGGATTGAGTCCCCAACTTCAGCCAGCCCAGCCTAGTCTCAGCCATTGCAGGTATTTAGGGAGTGAACTAGCAGATGAGATGGATCTCTCTCTCTCTCTCTCATTCCCTCCCTCCCTCTCTCTCTTTCTCCCTACCTCCCTCCCTCTTAAATTTTTTTTAATTTTAAAAAGGGCATTAATCGGCTGGCACCGCGGCTCACTAGGCTAATCCTCCGCCTTGCGGCGCCGGCTCACTGGGTTCTAGTCCCGGTCGGGGTGCCGGATTCTGTCCCGGTTGCCCCTCTTCCAGGCCAGCTCTCTGCTGTGGCCAGGGAGTGCAGTGGAGGATGGCCCAAGTACTTGGGCCCTGCACCCCATGGGAGACCAGGATAAGTACCTGGCTCCTGCCATCGGATCAGTGCAGTGCGCTGGCCACAGCGCGCCGGCCGCGGCGGCCATTAGAGGGTGAACCAACAGCAAAGGAAGACCTTTCTCTCTGTCTCTCTCTCTCTCACTGTCCACTCTGCCTGTCAAAAAAAAAAAAAAAAAAAAAAAGAATGTATACTAGATGATGGCATTTTATCAACATGAAATTTCCTGAACTGGATCACTGCATTACAGCTGCAAAATCAATTAAGGAACATAAAGTCAATATGGCAAAAATGAACTGATTAATCCAGGTAGAGGGCACACAGCTGTTCAATGAACTATTCTTAGAACTTTGCCGTTAGTGTGAATGTTTTCCAAAATTAAAAACTTGAGGAAAAATGATTTTCCTCAAATGATACAAGCCTGTATCAACATCAATTAACTTCCCCCCTCCCATTAAAAACTTACATTTTGCCTAATAATTAAAGATAGGTGAGAATCCTACTACAGTGTAAAGTTCTTTGGTCCTCAGGTCACCCCTGCTGAAGAGTGGCAGCTAAGGATATTTTCCTGTTGGACCACAGTCAAGAACATTGAACACAAGCAAGAAATCCACAAAAAAAACACACACTCATTTATGGGGATAAAGAGAATTATTTCTTGTTGAAAAGGCAAAAAAAATTGCTCAAAGAGGGGCATTAAATGCTTACTTTCGTGAGTACCTCTCAGAAGGAAAAACAAGTGTCATTAAACCAGAATGCCTGGAAATGACATGCTCATATTGTCTTTCCAAAACAACAGATAGCACACAAGGGAAACCACACTTACCACACAGACTCACTGTGGGATATTAAACACAGGAGAGACGATTATTACTTTAATTTCTAAAACTTAAAGAATATAGCAGACACTATCTTAAAATAGCAAGAAAAAAATTAGAGATTAGTAAGAACTCTTGCCACAATAAGTCTAATCTATAAAAACTGTAAATCGAGTAGGTGAGTAACAACGATGAAAAAGGAGACAGTTTCTCTCCCATCTGTTCTTTACTCGTAAACTTAATTTCATACAAAGAATTCTATCGTAAGAATAAAACCTCCTGCAGAAATCTAAAGACAACAGAACTGAAACTGCAAGTAAAGCATAATGTGAAAAGGACGCATTTTGACCAAAAAAAGGAAAAAAAAAACTTTTCCTTAAAACATTATCAAAAACAAAAACATACCTTCTTGAACAGGAAAAACTTCAGCTATTGAGACTAAAATGGTTAAAGCTGAAAATCTAGTTGAGTAGGAAGATCCAGGAAATAATGCTTCGAAAAGACTGTCACAAACAGATGACATAAATTTCTGAAAAAAAAAAAAAGAAAGAAAATTAGAAGTATAATTGAGTACACTTTAAGAGTGGGTGTTTTTGTTAGTTTGTTATAAGAGAGCAGAGGGGTTTGAAAACAAAACTGGTTGGCCTGCCATTTCCAGCTCTTGTGAGGAGAACTGGATGTTTTGAATGGGCTGGTTTCACTGCTACCAGTATTTCCAAAAAGATTAGGCTCCTTTCACTGTCACCAGCTGTAGCCATACTTTCCGGGGGGGGGGGGTGTCACTCTGGAAAAATGTGCTGTTTCAAGGAACGTCTGCAATCACTCTGCTCTTTCTGATAATCTGAAACCTCAGGAGACGGTCTTCAAAACGCCACGAGAAAACAACTTCGCAGTGTTTCAGTCACACCTCTGGGGTCTGGAGTTTCCAAAAGAAACAGATCTCATCATCTTTTATAAGCATAGAATTACATAGGCAGAAGTAGCCATGCAAGAGGCAGAGCAGACAGTGGCTAGCCAGCCAGGACAAACCACTGTCAATCTTAAGAAAGGAGAACAGAGAATGGAAGAAATGTGTAACCACCCCAAAGGAACCTGCAAGTCAGCACCAGGGAAGCAGGCTGAGCACACTGCAGCCGGTAGACGTTACTTTCCCATCACAGTCAGTTACTTCAAAACTCGGTTCCTGCCACAGTAGCCGAGTGGTCAGTCAGTTCTCGGTGCAGTCTATCCCTTAGAAGAAGGCTGGCTTTGGAAGCCTGAGACAGGAAGTGGGTGCCTCAGGGAAAGAGCACTCCAAAAAACGCCAACTGAAGCCTCCTTACCAGCTTCAACTCAGCCTGTCTTATAGGTCAGAGGGCAGGAAGAACCACACTGGAGAGTCTTCAAGGTTTCCAGCTACCAGTGCGGTAGACAGGATTAGCCAAGGGGGGATGAAGCATGGGCTGCTTCTGTATAGATCATCTTCAAGGTCTGACCCACACAAACCACTGAAGGACAGTCTATTCAGTGCCCACTGGGGAAGAAGGCCTTGGATTCTGTCACTGGCTTTGTTTACAGGTCTCCTTCTGTACTTTATTCTCTCTTGATTTTTTTTTAAAGATTTATGTATTTATGTGAAAGGCAGAGTTACAGAGAGAGAGATTTTCCATCTGCTGATTCACAGCCCAAATGGTTGCAACATCCAGAGCTGGGTCGATCCAAAGCCAGGAGCCAGGAGCTTCTTCAGGGTATCCCACACGGGTACAGGGGTCCAACTACTTGGGCCATCTTCTACTGTTTTCCCAAGCCATTAGCAAGAGAGCTGGATCAGAAGTGGGGCATCCAGGACTTGAACAGGCACCCATATGGGATGCCAGCGCTGCAGACTGCAGCTTAACCCACTACGCCACCGCACTGGCCCCTCTCTCTTAATCTTTATCTTACACACCCCGTGTTACCTCCCAGGAAAGTAGTCAGGTTACATATAAGGCTAGTGCTTCAAGATGTTTATATCACTTCCAAAAGAAATACGTAACTCCTCATTTCATGCAAATTCAAAGTAAGGTCATAAAATTAATTCTTGACATCATGCTGGGGATGGGAGTAGGGATAATATTCTCAGCTACATTTCATTTCCGTATTTTATTTTTAGCTGTGGATGTACTGTCCCATTGCCAGTGCTAACATACAACTCTGTTCTCAATCCTCATTACATTTTTTCTATTTACCTGCTGTTTCTTCTATGCCTAGTTACTATTAAATATATTGATCTTCCTTTGTCAAAATAAGTTGGAGGGGCAGCATTCAATCTGGTCATTAAGACTCTAGTTAAAACACCCACCTGCGACACTGGAGTGCCTGGATTCCATACCCAGCTCCGTTCCTGACTCCAGCTTCCTGCTAACACACACCCTGAGGGTGGCAGATAACAGCTCAGGTAAATGGGTGCCTGCTACTTACAGAAGAGACCAGATTGAGTTCCCAGCTCCCAGCTTCAGCCTCCGCCAAGGCTCAGCCATCATGGGCATCTGGGAAATAAACCAGCAGATGGGAACTCTGTTTCTGTTTCTCCCTATCTCTTTTTTTTTTTTTTTTTTTTTTTGACAGGCAGAACGGACAGTGAGAGAGAGAGAAAGGTCTTCCTTTGCTATTGGTTCACCCTCCAATGGCCGCCGCAGCCAGCGCGCCCCAGCCAGCGCACCGCGCCGATCCGATGACAGGAGCCAGGTACTTATCCTGGTCTCCCATTGGGGTACAGGGCCCAAGCACTTGGGCCATCCTCTACTGCACTCCTGGACCACAGCAGAGAGCTGGCCTGGACTAGAACCCGGTGTGCCAGCGCCGCAAGGCGGAGGATTAGCCTAGTGAGCCGCGGCGCCGGCCTTTTTTTTTTTTTTTTTTTTTTTGAGAGGCAGAGTTAGACAGTGAGAGAGAGAGAGACAGGGAGAAAGGTCTTACTTTTTCCATTGGTTCACCCCTCAAGTGGCCAATATGGCCTGCGCGCTGCACATCCAAAGCCAGGAGCCAGGTGCTTCTCCTGGTCTCCCATGCGGGTGCAGGGCCCAAGCATTTGGGCCATCCTCCTCTGCCTTCCCAGGCCACAGCAGAGAGCTGGACTGGAAGAGGAGCAACCAGGACAGAATCTGGCGCCCCAACCAGGACTAGAACCCGGAGTACCGGCACCGCAGGAAGAGGATTAGCCTAGTGAGCCGCGGCGCCGGCTCTCCCAATCTCTTTCAAATAAATAAATAAAAAGATTTAAGGTAACACTTGTAGACATAGATGTTCAGCTTACTAAAATATACAGGTAGCAAAATAAAGAGGATGCCACTTAATTGGTACTGCAACTCAATGCATATTACAAGCTCTGGAATGATAGAATGAGCAGGTGGAGTCACCTACAAGACTACTGAATCTGTCACCGCTTGAAGCCTCAGAAATTTTAATCATGATTACCTGACAGCTGGGAAACAATAGATACTGCTTTTTAAAGCCTTTGTTCTAGCTGGCGCTGCGGCTCAATAGGCGAATCCTCCACCTGCGGAGCCGGCACACCGGCTTCCAGTCCCGGTCGGGGCACCGGATTCTGTCCCGGTTGCTCCTCTTCCAGACCAGCCCTCTGCTATGGCCCGGGAGTGCAGTGGAGGATAGCCCAAGTCCTTGGGCCCTGCACTCGCATGGGAGACCAGGAGAAGCACCTGGCTCCTGGCTTCAGAGCAGCGCGCTGGCCACAGCGGCCATTAGAGGGTGAACCAACAGCAAAAAAGGAAGACCTCTCTCTCTCTCACTGTCCTGTCAGGAAAAAAAAAAAAAAAAAAAGAATCCTTTGTTCTTTGAATTCATCTCAATAAGTACTGCTCCTTCAAAAAATAAATATAAAGCATGTTAAATCTGCTTGATAATTCAGCCTGACGTCCTTTCCCATAAAGTACCCCACAACTTTCATGAACCCTGTGAAAACAAGATCTATTCAGCCTCCAATCTGTACTAGAGTTGCCTACATACTGACTTTCCTTACCAGAGGCATCCAGCCATCAAAGGTACACATACTTTTAGAAGTTTCAAAATAACCAAAGAAATATCCAATACACAAAACCTGACAAATTTGGCTATAACAACATAATTGATACAAAGATCTAACTATTCCCTGTGTTCTATTTACCTCTTTGAGGCCCCTGCTCTATCATTCTGTTCACATCAATGACAAAAAAATGGAAACTTTTAATGAAATACAATTTTATTTATTTATTTTTTTTTTTGACAGGCAGAGTGGACAGTGAGAGAGAGAGACAGAGAGAAAGGTCTTCCTTTGCCGTTGGTTCACCCTCCAATGGCTGCCGCGGCCGGCGCGCTGCGGCCGGCGCACCGCGCTGATCCGATGGCAGGAGCCAGGAGCCAGGTACTTATCCTGGTCTCCCATGGGGTGCAGGGCCCAAGCACTTGGGCCATCCTCCACTGCCTTCCCGGGCCAAAGCAGAGAGCTGGCCTGGAAGAGGGGCAACCGGGACAGAATCCGGCGCCCCGACCGGGACTAGAACCCGGTGTGCCGGCACCGCTAGGCAGAGGATTAGCCTAGTGAGCCGCGGCGCCGGCCCTGAAATACAATTTTAAAAAAGCAAATAACTTAGGATAAAGTCTTCTTTCTCTTGTTTAAAAAAAAAAATTGGGGGCCGGCACGGTGACGTAGTGGGTAAAGCCGCCACCTGCAGTGCCGGCATCCCATATGGGCGCCAGTTCGAGTCCTGGTTGCTCCACTTCCAATCCAGCTCTCTGCTATGGCTTGGGAAAGCAGTAGAAGATGGCCCAAGGACCATGCACCCACATGGGAGACCCAGAAGAAGCTTCTGGCTCCTGGCTTCGGATCTGCGCAGCTCCGTCCATTGCAGCCATTTGGGGAGTGAACCAGCAGATGGTAGACCTCTCTCTTTTTCTCTCTGCCTCTGCCTCTCCTTCTCTCTCTGTATAACTCTGACTTACAAATAAATAAATTAATCTTTAAAAAAAAATAAGTAAGAAAGGCAGGCATTGTGATATAGTGGGTTAGGCTGCTGCTTGAGATGTCTGCTACCTACTGGAACCTACGGTTCCAGTCCCGGGTCCTCCACTTCTAATCCAGCTTCCTGTTAGTGCACCTGGGTAGAAGCATATGATGGTCCAAATATTTGGGCCCCTGCCACTGCTGTGAGAGATCCAGAAGGAACTTCTGGCTCCTGGCTTCGGTCTGGCCTAGCCCTGGCTGTTGTGAACATTTAGGGAGTGAAGCAAAGGATGAAAGATAGATGGATCTTTCTCTCTCTCTCTTTCTCCCTCTCGCTTTCACTCTGCCTTTTTACAAGACAAAGGTAATTTCTGTGTAAGGTGAAGAGAAAAATAAGGAAAAGCTGTGATTTTCCAGCACCCTGTTAACGTTATGCCTGAGCACAGCATAGAAGCAGCCCTAGTCCCAGCTAACTAGAAAATGTCCTTGCGTTCATGTCGCTGGTGAAGGACGTGCAGCATTGGGGATTTATCTTATAGGCTCCCTAAGCGCTAAGATTTTATTAGTCTATCAATTCTATTGGGTCTCAAAGGAATAAAACAATTACTGAAAAATGTCTTACATTGTTTTTACTTATAAATGCACAAAACAGTATTTACATTAAAGCATGACAAATTCTTCTTTAGAAATTATCTTATGCTGATTGTATTGTCCTTTATATTTTCAGATATAGTTTTTATTTCCTGCAGATTATAACCACAATGGGGACAGCAAACACATGTAAGTTTAGATCTCTAGTCCTGAGCACAGCATGCAACACACTCAGTGGGAACTCAATACACGCCCTAGTCACTGAATGCCTCCCAGTAAGGATCCAAACAACCTGCCTACCATTGACAATTCTCTACTATCCCATTCTCTCTTGGATTTTCTTGACTCATTTTCCCTCGTCCAATTCCTCAATTCCCCCAAATATCTTATAGGTCACTGACACCAGTAAATTCACCATTCCCCAAGTTCTCGCTTTCTTGCACTTCCAATCCTTCACTTAAGCTGTCACTAGATGATAAAACTATTGAGACCTTAAAGTAAAGGACAGTTCTGGATTTAGATCCTGGCTTTACTACTTACTGGCTGAAGGACCTTGAGTGCACTACTGAATTTTCTTTTATCTTTTTTTTTGTTTGTTTTATGAAAGGCAGAATTATAGAGAGAGGGAGAAGCAGAGAGAGAAGTCTTCCATCTGCTGGTTCCCCAAATGGCTGCAATGGCCAGAACTGGGCCGATCCGAAGCCAGGAGCTTCTTACAGGTCTCTCACATGTGTGCAAGGGCCCAAGCACTTGGGCCATTCTCCACTGTCTTCCCAGGCACATTAGCAAGGAGCTGGATCACAAGTGAAGCAGCCAGGACTCAAACCAGCACCCATATGGGATGCCAGTACTGCAGGCATAGGTTTAACCTATTAGAAGCCCAGGTTACTGAATTTTACTAAGCTTCAGTTTTCTACTAGTCAGGTGGGGATAATAATACTTACCCTATAGTCTTTTTATAGGAGATTATTATATTTTTATTGGGTATTATATGAGAACATGGCTTAAAGCATTTTACAAATGTAAAACTATTCTAGTTATTCATAGTATTTAGGTATGAAGTAATCTCCACTAGACAAGAAGACCTCTTTTCTGAACTAACATTTTCCTTTTCTCCCCTAGCCTTTTGTCTACTGACTGGCACTGTGCCTGGAACCTACTGTTAGGATGATGACGGCACCAAAGTCGAAACCTCCACGAGCCACAGTGATGATCTGCCAGTCAGGAGAAGCTATCACACGCAGGGGACTGATCCAGAGTTGGAACTCTAAGGACTAAGTTTCAAAAGATATACATCTACAAGCACAAACCAAGAAACCATGCATACATTAAAACTCAGAACTTCAATTCACAACTGTGTCTCTAAGTACCTAATTGAGATTTCACAAATGTCATTGTACCGCATGTGAAAAGAAGCAAAAGGGAGCTGTTTGTTGTTTTTTTTTTTTTAAATTTATTTGACAGGTAGAGTTATAGACAGTGAGAGAGAGAGAGAGAGAGAGAGAAAAGTCTTCCTTCTGTTGGTTCACTCCCATAATGGCCACTACGACCAGCACTGTGCTAATCCAAAGCCAGGAGCCAGGTGCCTCTTCCTGGTCTCCCAGACGGGTGCAGGGGCCCAAGCACCTGGGCCATCCTCCACTGCCCTACTGGGCCACAGCAAAGAGCTGGACTGGAAGAGGAGCAACCGGGACTAGAACCCAGCACCCACATGCGATGTCGGCACTGCAGGCGGGGGATTAATCAAGTGAGCGCCACGGCGCCAGCCCCGAGAGCTGTTTTCTTAAATCGAGCGATGATTTAAGCCAAAAAAAAAGTGGCACATTACAGTAGGGGCTAGGTTTATACTCCAAATCCCTTTGAATGATTCCCAGTAAGGCTCTGGAGACATGTTACTAACTCCACTTACACTTGAGAAGACTTTTACATCAGCCAGCTAGTAAAGCGTCACAATCAGGACTAAACTTGGATCATTAAGTTCAGACTGTGACTTTCTAATCTTCATGGCTGGGATTTTAGAAAGATAAAGCTGTGTAGTGCAGCGAGTTAAGTCACTCCTTGCAACACGAATACTGGTTTGAGTTCTGGCTGCTCCACTTCAAATCCAGGTTCCTGTTAATGTGCCTGGGAAAATGGCCCAAGTATTTTTGGGCCTCTGCCACCCATGTGGGAGACCAGGATGGAGTTCTTGGCTCCTGGCTTTAGACTGACCCAGAACTGACTATTGTGGCCATTTGGAGAACAAACTAACAGATGGAAGATCTCTCTCTCTGTGTATCTGTGTGTATGTGTATGTGTATCTGTCTCCTCTGTTCTCTTTGTCACTCAGCCATATAAATAATCTTTTGAAAAATTAAAGAGTGGGAGGGAGAAGGGGGTTGGAAAGTATTACTATGCTCCTAAATCTTCATACATGAAATACATGAAATTCATTCACTTTAAAAAATTTTTTAATTAAAAATAAAAAAGGAAAAAATTAATTAAAAAGATGAAGCTGATTTCATAAAAATAGGAATATTCTTGGATAGATGGTGTTTTGTTTTTGGTTGAGTTTTGAGAGACAGAGAGCACTCCCATCTTCTGCTTTACTCCTCAAATGTCTGCAGTGCCTGTGAGTGGCCAGGCCAATGTCAGAGGCAGGAAACCCAATGCGGTGTCCCATGTGGGTGGTGGGGATACAACCACCTGAGCCACCACCTGCTGCCTCTGCCGGTCCACATTGACAGGAGGCTGGAACTGGCAGCCAGAGCCGGCACATGAACCCAGGGACTCCAACATGGACACAGACATCTTAACCATTAAGCTAAATGTCCACACCGAGTAAATAGATTTCCATCTTTTACATACAAAATTAAAAACGAAGGCCATGCGTATTAATGTTTACAGGAGGCAATGAGTACATCACAGTTGAAATGTATCATGAATTTATCAAATCTGTTTCCCTAAATAAAATAATGTAGATGAGCTTTGCATTCAACTGTGCCTTTGGAGAAAATGAGTCTGCTACTGAGAGGCTAGATTTGGGATAAGAAACCAGAGAAAGACTCATTCTGTTCTCTTGAAAAGAAACTGAAAATTGCCAGGATGAGGCCTAGTCCAGACAGGAGTTACCATGCTTGGAGTTCCAGCCAATTTATTAACAGCCCTTCTCTTCAAGCTCCCACCATAGCTGAACCATGAGCCAAGAGCCACTAACATGGAACTAGTGAGGTCAGTCTAAAGAGGAAGTAGGCCCAGCTACAGCAGTCTTACACCCAGGAGAGGTCGAGGAGTTCAGGGGCAGTAACAACCTTTCGTTAGAGTCCTAAATTCACCTGGCAGACATAAGCTCCAAGTTACTGAGGTCAGCTCAATATGACCCAGGCTGCCCTAGGAGGAGCCCAAAGCTCATGAAGATACATGCCACACTCAGCATAGAGGAGAAAAGCATAGAACTGGGGTTCACCAAGAGATTTCCATTGAGTCCCTTTTAATCCTTATTCATAATTCTTTTAGGTTTCCGAAAAATCTGTATGCCTAGAAACATATCACCTACCTTATACTGCTGTAAGGAATCAGAAGGGTGCTGTTTTCTTGACTCATTCTCTAGTTCATGGTTGGATTTACTTTGCTCCAATTTATAAAGTACCTGAGAACTTTCCTGTATCCTACAAAACAACTTTTGAGGAAAAGAAAACAAAGCATATGTGAGCCACACATTAAACTAAATGTCAGTCTAAAAGGCAGAATCCTTGAGAATAAAACTTCAAGCAAGGAAAATACAAGGATTTTTTTCTTAAAAAAAAAAAAAAAAACTCTTTAATATTTATCATGTTTCCTTTGAACAGAAAATTAACATTTATATTTTTTAAACAAAAGTTCTAATATAAACCAGAACATGGTCATTAAACCTTAGTTTCTCTATTTCATTTAAATCAGCAGGAACCCAAAAAGAATATATTCGTTTCTATACTCTACCAGTTCTTCACCCCTTATGTGTGCTGTATAATTAACCCAAGCTGAACTAATCAGAAATGGCCTTTTTTTGAGGCCCTTAGAGATACTACAAAAACACAATGCATCCTTCCTCCTGTTACAAAAGTGATCTTCAAACCACTTCACACCTTGAGAAATCCAGCTCCAGATTTTATTTCTTTCAACAAAAGAGCTCAAGGTTGACTTTATTATAGCCAAAGAAAAAGACTTCTCACTCTGGATTTTAATCCCAGATAGAAGTTTTATGGAGTCATAGACTAGGCCACAAAAAAGGCATGCTGGAGCCCAAGCTCATGCCCATTCCCACACTATCCCAAAAGAGGGGCTCTTTATAAAAACTATCTCCAGAGTAAAGTTTACTATTTCCCTTTACTTTCTCATGGGAACTTCTACCTTTTTAAGGAGAGAGCAAATCTGCTGCCGCACTCCTGGAGACTGGCTGTTAAGATTGTATGTGATAAAGAACTGAATCCACTGCATTTCTTCTGTGGACACAATTTCTGTGCTTCGATTGCTTTCACAAAGCAAACCTAAAGTGTCTATTCGTACCTAAAACACATCAAGCAGTAAAATATTAATTTTCTAAGGACATATGCAAAATCTAAACCACTTGAAATGTTTCATTATTTGCATGGGCTGCCAAAGGACAGAAGTAAACTTCTGCCCATCCATATGAACCTCAGACGGACAGCCAAGCCCCAAAGATCCTGTAGTGATTACCCATAACATCATTTTTTTAAATATGTCAACCTGGAGCCAGTGCTGTGGCATAGCAAGCAGCCCCAGCATCCTACCTGGGAGCCGGTTTGTTTCCTAGCTGCTCCACTTCTGATCCAGTTCCCTGCTAATGTACCTGGGAGAGCAGTAGAAGATGGCCCAAGTCCTTGGGCCCCTGCACCCATGTGGGAGACCTAGAAGATATTCCTGGCTCCTGGCTTCCAAGTCCAGCCCGACTGTTGTGGCCATTTGGGGAGTGAACCAGAAGATGGGAGATTATTCTGTCTCTCCCTCTCTCTCTGTAACTCTGACTGACTGATAGACAGATAGATAGATAGATCGTAAAAAGAAAAATTATTAAAAAATGTTGGGGCCAGCACTGTGGCACAGCAGGTTAAAGCACTGGCCTGCAGCACCAGTATCCCATATGGCCACCAGTTCAAGTCCTGGCTGCTCCACTTCCAATCCAGCTCTCTGCTATGGCCTGGGAAAACAGTAGAAGATGGCCCAGGTCCCTGGGTCCCTGCACCCATGTGGGAGGCCCAGAGGAGGCTCCTGGCTCCTGGCTTTGGATTGGTACAGCTCCAGCCATTGCAGCCAACTGGGGAGTGAACCAGCAGATGGAAGACCCTCCCCCCTCTCACTCTCTCTCTAACTCTGTCTTTCAAATAAGCAAAATAAATCTTTTTTTAAAAAAAGTCAACTGGAGATTTATAAAAATGAAGGAATTTTCATTCTTATTCTATGGTAATGCTCAGCTCCATGCCTTTTTCTCACTGACCACGTTACCCCAGGAGCTCTTCATCACAGTACATTCCAATTGGGTCTCCTGGTTTCTTTTTACTACCCCATTAGAAACTCATCTCTGTTTCCATTAATGCCATCACCTTGTTGAAGACTGAGTGGCTCTGATTGGATTATTTTTATTCAATTGAAGACTAGGAACCAGTGAAGTCTTCAGCTGGCATTGGAGCTTTCCATAAAATGCACAACATTCCACTTCTGCCAAACAATGTCCGTAATCAGCCTCTAGTCCTTGCATATTTGGGTCCTTCCATTGTATGTGCTTCCTCTCTTCTAACCACATCCACCACTTTCCCAGTCACCCACCACCCACTCACTCCAAACACTCTTCAGAGTGTCCCAAGGAAGTCCTCATGCATAAGGGCACATCTGATGTCTTCGAGGACTCCCCAGTTGTTTTAAGTTTTTTTTTTTATCCCCCACAACCAAACTTTAAGTAGCCTGAGTACAAGGTACACACTTTTTACCTTGTATTCACCCTCTTCAAAGACCACGGAAACAGTGCTAGGTATAACACAGAGGTCTCTATATTGGATTGCTAAATGAATGAAAAAGTTGGCGATCTATTGCACACATTCATTCCCAGTTATTTTGATTCCTTACTTGGCAGTGCTGATGAATTAAGCCTTGCTTTATTCTTGCACTGGACACAAGGTTCTCCCAAGCATCAGTTGCAGACTGAAGATGTCCATGAGCTCTAGCTGTTCGCAGACATGCCACCAAAGCCCCCAGAGCCCCTCTGCTATTACAAGACCCTAAGGATGAAAAAGACTGCTCTTGTCCCAATAGCACAATAACAAAGATCATGCCTGTGTTATGCAGTGACTACTGTAATCTTCAGTTGTCAACTGTCATGCTTCCAAGGAAAGTTAGGTTTCAATACACCAAAGTCACATTTTAAATTAAATTCTACCACAAATTAAAAGTTCTATTCTAGTGGTTGGCATTCTGGCACAGCAGGTTAAGTTGTTGCTTGTGACACTGGTATACAATTTCAGAGAGCTGGTTCAAGTCCTGGCTTCTCTGCTACTGATCCACCTTCCCACTGATGTGCCTGAGAAGGCAGTAGTTCCTGGCTCCAGGCTTCAGCCTGGGCCAGACCCAGATGTTGTAGCCATTTGAAGAGGGAAGCAGCAGGTGGAAGATCAATCAATCAGTCTCTCTGGTTCTCCCTCTTTCTCTGTTTCTCTTTCAAATAAATAAATCCTTGAAAAAATAAAATGAATTTCCTGTTTTTAAGTAAGTTTTTAAGATTTTCTTATTTATTTGAACAGCAGAGTGAGATTGAGGAAGAGACACAGAGAGATCTTCCATCCACTGGTTTACTCCCTAAATGGTTGCAATGGTTAGGTCTGGACCAGGCTGACACCAGGAGCCCGGAACTCCAACTGGGTCTCCCATGTGGGTGGCAGGGGCCCAAGCACTTGGGCCATCTTCCACTGCTTTCCCAGACATATAAGCTGGGAGCTAGACCAGAAGCAGAGAGGCCAGGATAGGAATCAATATCCTGAAACGGGATGCCAGCATTGTAAGCAGCAGCAAAACCCACTGTGCCAGAATGCTGGGACATAAAATAATTATTATCTAAAATGGTTTAATTATTCTTATGTCAATAATTTCAAACAAGCATAATTCTCTTATTAACATAAAGGAATCACAACTAATTTGCTAATTTTTTTTAAAGATTTATTTATTTATTTGAAAGAGTTATACAGAGAAAGGAGAGGCAGAGAGAGGTCTTCCATCCACTGGTTCACTCCTCAATTGGCTGCAACAGCCAGAGCTGCACCAATCCGAAGCCAGGAGCCAGGAGCTTCTTCTGGGTCTCCCACGTGGGTGCAGGTGCCCATGGACTTGGGCCATCTTCTACTGCTTTCCCAGGCCATAGTAGAGAGCTGGATCAGAAGTAGAGCAGCCAGGACTTTAACCAGCACCCATATGGGATGCCGGCACTGCAGGCAGCGGCTTTACCCGCTATGCCACAGCATTGACCCCTGCTATTATTTTTATTTTTTCCTTGATACTTAGACAATGAACTAGGCTCCTGAACTCGATCTGGCCCAGCCTTGGCTGTTGAAAGGCAGTTGAGGAGTGAACCAGCGAATGGAAGATCAATCTCTCTGTCTCTCCTCCCTCTGTCACTCTGCCTCTCAAATACACAAATAAATAAATCTTTTTTTAAAGAATTAAACTAGAAAATGAATTAGGGGAAAGAACAAGTAAAGACATTAAAAATAATAACACAAAAATCAAAATGGCTTTCTTCCAAGAACAGGAAAAACATTTCAATGACCAAAGATTATCATTTCTCTAAACATAAACACTGAACTTCCCTGCATATTTTGGAGTTATTATTTAGTAAAGAAGATAAAAAGAGGCTCACGAAGAACCTGGCAGATTGAGAGACTAGGAAATCGGCCATTATTAAGGGAACAGGGAGTCCTGGTTCACAAGGTGCCTTGACATAAAAATTAAGACAATCTTATTACAGAACAGATTCATGATTTTAGATGGTTTCTCAAACAGTCAAGAACAATTATTGTTAACAATGACAAATAATGGCTTATTTTTGTGTACAAAAATCAAATGTTCCTGTTATCTCATGATAACTCTGAAATACTGAAAGTTTTTAACCATTTTAGCTGAAAATATTTCCTAAATTGTGCAGTAGGACACAAAATTCTTGCCTGGAAACAGAATACACTAATTTTAGGATTCATATGAGTCCAGATCACCATCTTACATATTAATTATCAAATTCTGCTTTAGTGCACTGAGTCCTTCAGGGTTACTGAATTCCTATCCTATTCTAAAACAATACAGCCTGTTTCTTGAGGTCATGTCTTCAAATGTTGACTCTACCCCAGATGCAAAAACTTGCTGCTGCCAATTCACTTGTCTTTTTAACCTTGACTAAGACAATTTTTAATTACTGTCTCACTTGAATAAGCAAATTATATAGCACACAAACTTTTACTAGACTAACAACACAAAAACAAACTAAAAACTTAGTTAAATGAATTAAAGCTTGGTAATAAAGGAACCCTTATTATGGTTTCCTTTACTGGAGTTACTCCTTAGCTTACTGCCACAACTTTATCCTGAAAGCTCCATTCAGCTATGAACAGGAACATTTGTTTCAACCTGAACTAGATACCAATAATACCTCCCTTTACTCTTCAAAGAAGTGGTAACATGAACGTGGTCAACATCTGCCCACATTTAAGCACCATAACTAGAAACTACTGAAATAAAAATTCATTTTTCTTACCAGTTTTAGCATCAATAGAAGCCTGAAGAATCTGGACCATGTACTTTAAGCTTTCAGGACTGTAATTCAATAATTTTGGCAAGTAATAATCAATCAGGTAAGATTTTTGATCCAGGTGTCCTTCACACAGTACAAAAAGGAGAGGAGAAACCCAAGTCTCATGCCACTGATCAATCCAAGCACTGTTGAGAGTCTGGGATTTCAAATGATTCTTATGATTTTTAAACATGGTTTCTAAGAGGTCACTTGCATAAGGTACCAATGACTGGTCCCCCATCACCTCTAAGATTTGAGATGGAATGGTTTTATCTACTGCCAAAATATGTTCAATTCCTATAGACTCTACCAAACAGCCAAGGCATGTGTACTTTCCTTTAATATGCCATTCCAATCGCAGAAGATTCCCAGTCAATTCCAAAAAGAAAGGATCAGTGACTGAATCTGCCCCTTCTGCAGTAAGCTGGTGCATGTGGAGGAGATTTTTGAATATGATTTTGGTTTGATGTCTCAGAGAATCCAATGGATGTTCCCAATGGGTATAGACATATTCCAAAAGGCTCTGAGCGATGCCTGAATTACCACTCAGACTGTCCTTGAGGCCTGAGGAGCTTGATTCAAGGACATGCATGGCTGAATTAGTCCAAGATGCCAAGATTCTAGACAGAAACATCTCCAGCGTCGCTTCCTTAATCCTGAGGAAAAACAAGCCATGAGACGTAGTACTATAAACCGACTAGAAAGAAAAATTTCACTTAAAATCATTTAGACTTTAGAAATATTAAATACACAGAATGAACTGGGAATTCAATCTGCATTAAATTTGCCATAACAAAAAATCACAAAGCCCAAACAAATCTCACATTTGTATGTGAATCTTCTCACCTTATAAAAAATAATCCAAAAATGGACACAAGGAAACGTGGTGATGGGGGTGGGAGGGTGAGTGAAGCATTTATTTTTTAATTGTGACGATGGTTTCACCAGAGATTTAAAATATACTGAGGGTCTAGGGTTGAGGAAGGTTAGGAGAAATGGAGTTTCTTTTTACAACGATGAAAACATGCTATGACTTGCATCCTATGTAAACTATAGCTCCAACATATAGAAAATGATTTTTACAACATTGCAGCTTTCCTTCTTCAGCCACACTTTCATTTCTATCAAGCTCTATCATTCAATATTCTCAAAAACACCAAAAAAAAAAACCAAACTCCTCTGAAGTCATAAGACCTTGTTACAGAGTTCCCAACTTGAGTTCTCATTAGCAACATGATCTTATATAAATTACTTCCTAAATTTAACTTTCTCATTCAACAAATTAGGCTTCTTATCCTATCTACCAGACACACGAAGATCACATTAGATTGCCTATCTCAGTTTTTCATGAAATTCTAAAGCACTTCACATACGAGCATTGAAATTTTTATAGTTTTCAAAGATACTAGTACAAAGACCTAAATGTTAAAATTAATTTTAAAAATATTCATTGCAGATGAACCTGCACCAATAATTTCTATAATTCTCTTGCTCACTTCACCTCAGCTTCTCTTTCACACTCATTTCATTCCTTATACAGGTATCACTTTTAATTTAGGATTTACCCTGACCACCTGTCACTGAATACTAATAATACCAGCTCAGCTGCGTCTCTTAAATGACTTACAAGCAAAACAAAACATGATACAGCAGCATCAGAACTCACTGTGAATTCAAGGTGAACAAAACATGTGCAGTATCTAAGAGCAGGGCCTCCCCACGCAGGCCCATGCTCCCATCCTGCCAGTCCAGCATGGCCAGCGTCCCCTGACACAGGAATAAGAGAGCTGATGCAGGGAGGCTGGCACAACACAGGCTCTTGCAGCAGCTCATGAACCACTCGGGGACACTGGTGCAGTCCACTGAACGGAGAAGCACACTGCTTATCTGGAAAAGAATAAAAGAACTAAAGCATATAAAGGCTTTGAAACTTCCCAAGAGATATTTCAAGACATAAATCTAAAAATATCTTTCCTCTGAAACATCACAGAAAAAAATAAACAAACTTAAAGATAAAATAGTCACAAATATTATAATTATTATTTCAATATTAAAAGAGAAAAAATTGAAGCCTGAGTTATAGCACAGAGGGTAAAGCTGCTATCTGCGACGCCGGTATCCCATTCCTGTCCCGGATGCTCCACTTCTGATCCAAGGCCCTGCTAATGGCATAGGAAAGTAGCAGAAGATGGCCCAAGCTGCTTGGGCCCCTGTACCCACAAGGGAGACCTAGAAGTTCCTGACTCTGTTGTGGCCATCTGGGGAGTGAACCAGCAGATATAAAATTCTTCATCTCTCCTGCTCCCTCCAGAACCCTGACTTTCAAAATAAATAAATAAATAGGGAAAAATTAAATCAATGTTCATGAATCCTTCTGCTGATCTGACTGTACTGGTAGAACATAATACATCGCCACCTGCAGGTGGAAGAGCTGAATGTTTTGTAAGAAGTGACTTGAGAAAAATTTTCAATTTTATCTAATGATAATTATTTTGTGTGACAGAATGATGCATATATATTTTACTTAAGATTACGTAAAAAGATAAAACAAGTTCCTAGATAATACATCAAGAGGAAAAACTTACAGTAGTAAATATAAAAACTGTGGCCTAAATTATAAATTAACACTTTCTTTGTAGATCAAACACACTAAACTGACTCTTGCACATTTTCTAATGTACAGCATTTGATTTATTCTTAATTAAAAGCCCATATTTATCAATTACTGTATATATCCACATATTACTCTCTGCATAATATTGTCATTATAAATATAGTAACATAAATATCATTTATGATACTAGTGAGAGATGGAACTGAAATAACAGCACTAGGAAAACAAGGATATATATATCAAATGTGTTGTTATTCATCATCCTTGTGAGGTAGATTTACAGGTGAGTGTTACTTTTTTTTTGGCTTTATATGAATTTTTGGAACTGTCTTTTTTGTAAAAGAGCCATTATAAAGATCTAGACTATGTAAAAAATGTATTTTTTAATTTATTGCTTTTTTAAGATTTTATTTATTTGAGAAGTAGAGTTGTAGGCAGGCAGATGGAGAGACAGAGAGAAAGGTCTTCCATCTGCTGGTTCACTCCCCAAATGGCTGGAGCTGGGCCAGTCTGAAGCCAGGAGCCAGGAGCTTCTTCCAGGTTTCCCATACAGGTGCATGGCCCAAGGACTTGGGTCATCTTCCACTGCTTTCCCAGGCCATAGCAAAGACCTGTATCAGAAGAGGAGCACAGGGAACTAAAACCAGCGCCCAAACAGGATGCCAGTGCTGCAGGCGGAGCATTAACATACTGCACCACAGCACCGGCCCCAATTCATTTCTTAAAAAAAAAGTTAAACATACATCTAACTCTCAGTAAAGCACAATTCTTTTAAGATTTATTTATTTATTCTGAAAGTTAGAGTTACAAAGTGAGAAGAAGAGACAGAGAGATCTTTCATCTACTGGTTCACTCCCCAGGTGGCTGCAATGGCCAGTGCTGGGACAAGTGGAAGCCAGGAACTCCTGTTAGGTCTCCCACATGGGTGGCAGGGACTCAGGCGCTTGGGCTCTCCTCCACTTCTTTCCCAGGACATTAGCAGGGAACTAGGTCAGAAATGGAACAGTCTGGACACAAAACAGTGGCCCATATGGGATGTCGGCATTGCAGCTGGCAGCTTTACCTGCTGCACCACATTAGCCCCTAAAGCACAATTCTAAAAAGGAGACGCACTTACCAAATCAGGAATTTTTTCAGATGGATGAAACATAGTCTTAACAAAAAGAATAACAGCTAATCCAGATGTGCTCTGAATAGTCTGTAGGAGGTCATCTATTTGGCAAAAAAATAGCAAGAGTAAGCATGTATTAAAAGAGATCCTGGTACAGTGGAAAGAACAGATGCTTTTGGGTCAAACAGTCCTGGGAATAATTTCTAGCTGGACCACTTCCTAAAGCAGATTTTAGACAAAATTATTTCAGCTCCCAGGGACTCAGCTGTCTCCTCCATAAATGTGGCAAATGAGCTCCTATCTGACACAGCTGCTGTATGTTTACATGAACAATGAACACAGACCTTCTGATATGCAATAAATGTGATTCCTTTCTCCAACATCCACTCTCTTCCTCCACACTCACTGCCTCCTAGCACAACTGGCAGCAATACCAACTATGCCCTCCCCTCCACAGATGCCTCAGCCAACTCTCATCTGCAAATACTTTCCCTGAAAGAGATGGCAGGGCTTGTGTACCGAACCCAAATTAATGCTAATTACAAACTTTGCTATCACTAGCACTGCACCCAAAGCAATTAATCTCTATTAGCCTATGATAACAGGATGTTTTACACAATCTAGACAAGAAGTATGACAGCCACTATGATTTATGTATGAAGTACCCTTCATCCCCGATAACAAACGGTGGCTTTGACTGGGACAGACCCAGCAAGACAGGATACTTGCTTCCTCAATCTTCAGTGCAACTAAAGCCAGCCGCATGAGAGAATCCAGGCCATTGAGATATAAGCAGAAGACCCTGGGTTTTTCCTGATTAAAGGTAAGGATGCAAGTAGCCCCTCTTCCTGCCTTGAATACAGACATGATAGCTGGAGTTAGAGCAGCCATTTGGCAATTATGAGACAACAAATACATGGGTGCAAAAACCAACATGCTAAAGAAGGCAGAGCAGAAAGACAGAAGATGTTTAGGTTTTAGAATCTCCTGCAGTTCTGGATCACCTGTCTCTGAACTTGCTATGTGGGAAGAGCAAGTAGGCACACTTACTTAAGTCCCTTAAGTTTAACTTTCTGTTTTGCAGCTAAATATTGTACTGATGTATGAAGCTTTAAGATACAGGAGAATAACAGAGATTAGGTGCCATCAACTTCTCAGAAAAGGAGCAGTCTCATACGAAATCATGTTTTCTCTGCATATAACCAATTAAAGCTTTTTTAAAGATTAACAAATTCCTCTTCTAAAAATCAAATATCCTCTGAAAAGTTGTTTGTATGTTATATTTTAAGAAAACGTTAATCATTTTTTTTTTTTTTTTGACAGGCAGAGTGGACAGTGAGAGAGAGAAAGACAGAGAGAAAGGTCTTCCTTTTGCCGTTGGTTCACCCTTCAGTGGCCGCCGCGGCTGGTGCGCTGCGGCCGGCGCACCGCGCTGGTCCGATGGCAGGAGCCAGGTACTTATCCTGGTCTCCCATGGGGTGCAGGGCCCAAGCACTTGGGCCATCCTCCTCTGCACTTTTGGGCCACAGCAGAGAGCTGGCCTGGAAGAGGGGCAACCGGGACAGAATCCGGCACCCCGACTGGGACTAGAACCCGGTGTGCCAGCGCCACAAGGTGGAGGATTAGCCTAGTGAGCCGCGGCGCCGGCCTAATCATTTTTTCTTAATATCCAGCTGATATGCTGAGCAAAAGAAAAATGGAAATAATAATTAGGCAGTAACTAGAACTTTCACTATTTACCATGGTTAAAAACATAGAAACAATGACATGCTATTTTTTTCCCCAATCAGTCTAACAAAACCAGTCATTTATTGTTTTTTACAAATGAGAGCTCTGAAGAGAGCTAATTAATATTTGCTTTTAATTAAGTTAAATTCATATGTACATTGCCATCTAGAATGGAAGGTAAAGGAAGAAAGGATAATTTAGCTTTTCATGTAGCTACGTATGTTTTACATAATGCTTTTTATTTAACTTATTATTGAACTATAAAACAGATACAAAAAATTACTCAAAATGATGTATAGCTTAATAAATTACTAGGTGTTCATCCTGGTCCCCTCCATCAAAGGCAAAATACAGAACTTGGTCCCCAGCCCTGAAGGCTCTTTCTTAGACCTCTTCATAGTCACAATCCCCTCTCTCACTCTTCTGCTTTTCACCGTAATTACTTCCTTGTGTTTCCTCAATAGCTGTAGCAATCAAATGTGGATTCCTAAACATTATGGTTACTGTGATAATTTTCTAAAATGTAATGCCTTTCATCTAAAGCTGCCGCCCTTTGTCCCTTTCTACTAAAATCTCTCTCTTGAGGACCCCCAGCCACTGGCACTGAACAGTTTCCTGGAGTCTGGGTGCTGTGTCGCTGACTGATCCTGTTCCCCTGTGCTGCAAGTTGGCAGCTAACTCAGAAACAGCATTATTCTCCAGTTCAATCCCTTTGGGAAGGCTATAGGTAGGAACAGGAAGACTATGAGGCACATGCTGTATGGTTTTCTGTTTCTGTAATATCAGCTACTATCGATGCTCAATGCCTATGTTAGTTCACTGGAGGCTACAAAACTGATATTCTATCACTTCATTTTAATTCATTTATTGAAATACTTTTATAAATGGTCACTTCCTTTCATACACTGCTTAATTTTCTAGGGGTACAGTTCACATAACTAGATGAGCCATAAGAAGGAATACTGTGACCAGGCACACAATCAGCAACTACTGTCATTATTTGTAACACCTGCTGCTAAGGAAAACTGAATGGGTTGCACCAATCTTTTCAGATCTTCCCTTTGTATATGGAAATTTTGTCTAAAGACTTGTTTTGCTACTTGAGGCTTTCAAATACTAAGGTAGTTTTCTTTCTTGCATGTAATACACACAGCTTAGAAAACTCCTTTGGCTGGCACCACGTCTCATTAGGCTAATCCTCCGCCTGCAGCGCTGGCACCCCGGGTTCTAGTCTTAGTCGGGGTGCTGGATTCTGTACCAGTTGCTCCTCTTCCAGTCCAGCTCTCTGCTTTGGCCCGGGAGTGCAGTGGAGGATGGCCCAGGTTCTTGGGCCCTGAACCCGCATGGGAGACCAGGAGGAAGCACCTGGCTCCTGGCTTCGGATCGACACAGGCACCAGCCACAACGCACCGGCCGTAGCAGCCACTTGAGGGGTGAACCAATGGAAAAGGAAGACCTTTCTCTCTGTCCTTCTCTCTCTCACTGTCTAACTCTGCCTGTCAAAAAAAAAAGAACATTTAACATTACCCCTTGCTGAATCGGTACATTTGAAAGAAAAAAAGAATTAAAACTATGTTATCGGGGCTGGCGCCATGGCACACTAGGTTAATCCTCCGCCTGTGGCACCGGCATCCGATATGGGCACCAGTTCTAGTCCCAGCTGCTCCTCTTCCAGTCCAGCTCTCGGCTGTGGCCTGGGAAAGCAGCAGAGGGTGGCCCAAGTGCTTGGTCCCCTGCACCCATCTGGGAGACCAGGAAGAAGCACCTGGCTCCTGGCTTCAGATCGGGCAGTTCTGGCCATTGCAGACAATTGGGGAGTGAACCATCGGATGGAAGACCTCTCTCTCTCTCTCTCTCTCTCTCTGTAACTCTGTCAAATAAATAAATGAAATCTTTAAAAAAAAAAAAAAACTATGTTATCCAGGGCCTTTCCCTACTCTGAAAAGTTGGGGAAGGAGAAATTCAATCTTTCAGTCAACTATATCCAACAATCAATCAATATAAACACAAATATAAGATACAATAATATATATATATTTCATAACATTATTAGGAAAAGCCGATTAATCCCCAAAGGTAACCATCATTTGTTGCTACACTTACCGTCACTTAAAAACTTGGTGAAAATACTCAGCAACCTACACATACTTTGCCATACAGGAGAACTGGAAGTCTTCCAAAGATTTCCCTGGAAACTTTGTACTTTCTGTATTAACATCACTGAAACTCTAATGCCTACCAATAAGTCATTCATCAACTGTGTTTGAACAATATGATTTCCAGCAAATTTTCTACAAAGAAGAGAAGACATTATTACAAAAGGAAATTCAAATAAAACTATCACCATTTCTATACTTCTCAAAAATAAACATGTTCCTCAATCACAGGGTCCAAATCAATTTCAGATTATGATAGACATTTACACCTCTACCTTCCATACCCACAAACGTTCCAATTATGCAGACATTTACTGCAAATTTCAACACTCTGAAATAACCTCAGTAAGTTCCTCTTCCTCAACCAATAACTAACTTAGCTTCTCTCTTACATGACAAAGGTATAAAAAAACAAGAAAAACTGGTAAAACTTACAAATTTCAACACGCCTGGAACTTGAACCAGCTTTCTTTACCTGGCTTCCAAGACGTCAGGCTCTGCTGGATGTTCTACTTCACCGCTGCTCTTTCACAGACACCTGGGCTTGCTCATCTCTCTCTATGCTAAAGCTCCCTTAAGTCCTTAGTTCTCTTCTATTCTCCATCTCTCTCCCTTGATGCTAACCTCCTGCAGTTCATAAATTATAATCTCTGTAACAACAATTGCAAAAAATCTCCAACTCAGACCTCTCTAATCTCTAATGCACACCCTAAGAGTGTTTCTAACTGCCTACGCAGTAGCTTCACTTGGATGTCTAACAGCTGTCTCAAAATACGTGAACTTTCGTTCAACTCCAAACTTTCTCTTTCTTCTTCATCCCACTGGTAAGAAAATCCTGTTGTTGCACCTTCAAAAACAGATTGCCTCCACTGCTACCATCTTGGCCTGAACCACTTTCATCTCTCCCTCAGACTACTGACTGCTCAGCTTCCACCACTGCCACTCTCAGTTTATTCTCAACACAGCAGAACCCGCGGTGATCCCGTGAAAAAAATGTTATGAGGCAGGCGTTAATCCTAGTGCTTACAACTCCTGCTATCCCCGTATCAGAGTGCCTGGGACCAATTCCTGGTTAATTCCAACTTCCTACTAATGCACACCCTAGGAGGCAGCAGATGATGGTTCCAGTACTTGGACCCCTACCACATATGCAGAACACCCAGATGGAATTCCAGGTCCCTGGTTTCAGTCTGGCCCAGCTCTGGTTGTTGCAGGCATTTGGAGGGTGAACCAGTGGATGGAAGATCATTAATATCCCCAAAGAGATAACAGAGGACACTTTACCTACGAAATGAGAACAGGATGCTAAGAAAAACTCAAAGGTTCAAAGGTCAGTGGGTGAAAGACCTCTTCCCTTTCTTATTTATTCTCATAATTAATTCGACTTTTCTTAAGATTTATTTATTTGACAGGCAGAGTGAAAGAGAGAGAGAGAGAGAGAGTCTTCCATGTTCTGGTTCACTCCCCAAATGGCTACAATAGCCAGGGCTGGACCAGAATGAAGCCAGGATCCAGGAATTCTCACACATGAATGCAGGTCTCACACATGAATGCAGGAACCAAAGCACTTAAGCCATCATTCGATAGCCACAATAGCCGCGTGCCAGATCAGAAGCGGAGCCACAGTAACAGGGAGCTAGATCAGAGCTAGATCAGAAGTGGAACAGCTGGGACTTGAACCAGCACTCAGATATGGGATATGAGTGATGCAAGCAGGGCTTAACCAGCTGTGCCACAACACTAACCCCTATTCAACTTCTTAAAATTAGATGGTAAACTTCTAAAAAATAAATTTAAATAACCAGGTCATATATTAATGAAGAGGGATGGAAACACCTGTTTTGAGAACTTTCTGAAGATTTTGCTCGTAGAGAGTCAATACACAAATCTCAGTGTGTATGCACATACACAAGCATGCAAATACACAGCACTTGCCTGTTTTCTTCCAGGATCTCAACTAAACTCTTCTGCAGAAAATGGAGCACTGAAACAGAGATCATAATGACAAACAAGAGTTTAAAACCATGACCTGCAATTCCTGTATAAGAAAATATTTTAAATCACCATGGCCTAAAATGTTATCACAATATAGAAGCAGAAATCAGAAAGCAGGAACATGATGTAACTCAGTTGTCTGTGGTACTCCATCTATTGACAAGAAATTCAAATGAGCCAATTCCAAAATGACTCATATAATCCGTCACCTCTTGGAACAAAGCCAAATAGGACTTACCACTTTTAAGCAGATTATCAACACTCGCTCTGCCTGCAGGGAGAAAAATGAACACTGGTAAGGAGTTTCAGGACTAAAAGGAACTTTATTTAAAAGCAATGATGTAGTGACTGGTGTGAGCCAGAACAAGTACTAGAAAAGCACAAGCTTACCCAAGTTAAAGCTCTCCATACAGGAAGACAGATTGTCAAATACTTTCCTATAAGAATATACATCAGTAGTATTCAACTCCTCCTCAAGACGAAAAGTAAAACTGTATATAGCCTCAGTCAGACAAAATTCAGGTAGGCCATTCAGTGAACTAGAAAAGAACAAAATATTAAAAATCTGACAACCTAGTAGTATTGCATATGTAGGGAGGGAGGAGAATCAAACAAATATAGGAATATTGACTTCAGCCTTCAAAATACAGGCAAAAAAGTACAACTTCACACCACCATTACTACAATTCCCTGGTCTACCATCTCTCGTCTGGTCTCTGAGTCCATTTAGCCTCCCTCCCATCCTCTAGACTACTACCAACAGAGCTGTCAAAGTGATCCGACCAAAACACCACGTTACTTCTCTGCCTAAAAGCCTCCAACAACTTCCTTCTCAAAGTAGCTGCCAAAATGGTTACAATGACCTGCCAGATGCTAGGCCATCTGCCCACCGCTAGCTGTCTGACCCACCTCAGGGCCTTGTTCGCACAGCTCTAGCTACAAGGCCTTCCTCTCTTCTGACAACAGGCCAAAGTCACTGCCCTTGCTATTTCCTCCGCCCAGAACACTCTTCCCTCCGACACCCAGCAATCACTGCCTCCCCTCTCAGGTCAGTCTCCAATATCACCTTATCACATCTGACCAACACTGTACAAAGTAACCACCACACTTGAAATCAGACCCTCAGCCATGCTCAGTGCTCCCTTTTCCCCTTCTGCTTTCCTTTTCTCCATAGCAGTCACACTAGCGAATACACTATATGTGTTATTTAGTCTATTTGCTATCTACCTGTGGGAATGGAACATCAGTAGCTCTAGACTCTTCCATTCTCTGTATCTCTACTTCCTGGAAAAATGCTTGAAACAGTAGGCAGTCAATAAAAATCTATTGAATGGATAAATTAAATGTATGTCAATTTTACCTCAATCTCAATCAAAGCAATAGTTTTTTTGTTTGTTTGTTTGTTTGTTTTTGACAGGCAGAGTTAGTGAGAGAGAGAGAGAGAGAGAGAGAAAGGTCTTCATTCCGTTGGTTCACCCCCCAGTGGTCGCTACGGCTGGCGCTATGCCGATCCAAAGCCAGGAGCCAGGTGCTTCCTCCCGGTCCCCCACGCAGGTGCAGGCACCCAAGCACTTGGGCCATCCTCCACTGCCTTCCTGGGCCATAGCAGAGAGCTGGACTGGAAGAGGAGCAACTGGGACAGAACCAGCGTCCCAACCGGGACTAGAACCAGGGGTGCTGGTGCCACAGGCGGAGGATTAGCCTAGTGAGCCGCAGCACCAGCAGCAATAGGTACTTTTTTAAACTATATCAAATGATGGTACAGAAACAAGTATTGTTTTGGTGTATGAACCCAAGTTTAAAATCAAGCACATGTGCATACAACATATAATATAATAAAATGGCATTCCAAATGTAGAGAAAGATGGGTTATTCAACAGTTCAGATTAGGTGACTCTCCACATAGAAAACAAAACTAAGTTGAATCCCTACCTCACCCAACAGTCAAAACTTAATTTCAGATGGATTTAAAAGTAAAACAATGGGGCCAGTGCTATGGCATAGTGGGTAAAGCCGTCACCTACAGTGTCAACATCCCATATGGCACCAGTTCAAGTCCTAGCTGTTCCACTTCCGATCCAGCTCTCTGCTAAGGTCTGGGAAAGCAGTATAAGATGGCCCAAGTCCATGGGCACCTGCACCCACATGAGAGACCCAGAAGAAGCTCCTGGATTCTGGCTTTGGATTGACACAGCTCCACTAGCTGTGGCCAATTGGGAAGTGAACCAGCAGATGGAAGATTCTCTCTCTGCCTCTCCTTCTCTCTCTGTGTAACTCTTTCAAATAAATAAACACATCTTTAAAAAAAAAAAAAAGTAAAACAAAAAAAGTATTCTAAGAGAGAATAAACAAGTCTTTATAATCTTGTATTAGAGAAAGCAAACATCAGCAAAGCATGAAACTCAGATATATACACAGTACAAATAAAATTTGCAGTGTTCATAACAAAAAATTTTCTTAAAGACAAGATAGCATGAAGAAAGTCTAAAGAGAAGTAACAATATATCTGACATACAACCTAATACTCAGCTCTTACAAATCAAGAAAACATTTCTAATAAGAAAATGTACATTAGATGAAATTAAAATTAGTCAATAAAACTCCACATATTAAAAAATGTTCAATCATACTAATAATTTGTGAATTGCAAATTACAACCAGATAGTATATCTTACCTATTAGATTTAAAGATTGATATTATCTAGAATTGAAAAAATAGGAAGAAACAGGCACTCTCATTCACTGTTGGCAAAAGTATCGATTAAAATAGCTTTTTGGAGCACCATCTAGCAATATTTACCAAAAATTTGATTGTTTTTTAAATTTTTTGTATTTGAAAGGCAAAGAGGGGCCGGCGCTGTGGCGCAGCAGGTTAAACGTCCTGGCCTGAAGCACCAGCATCTCATATGGGCGCCAGTTCTAGTCCCAGCTGCTCCTCTTCCAGTCTAGCTCTCTGCTATGGCCTGGGAAAGCAGTAGAAGATGGCCCAAGTCCTTGGGCCCCTGCACCCGTGTGGGAGACCTGGAAGAAGCTCCTGGCTCCTGGCTTCGGATCGGCGTAGCTCTGGCCGTTGCAGCCATCTGGGGAGTGAATCATCGGATGGAAGGCCTCTCCTCTCTCTATGTAACTCTGACTTTCAAATAAATAAATAAATATTAAAAAAAAAAAAAAAAGAAAGAAAGGCAGAGACAGAGACAAAAAGAGAGCTCATTCATCCATTGGTTCATGTCCCAATGTCCAAAATAGCCAGAAATGAGTCAGGCTTAAGCCAGAAGATGAGAATTTAATCCAGGTCTCTCACGTAGGTGGGAGAAACACAAGTGCTTGAGCCATCACCTGCTGTTTGTGGATGTTCCAGGTGGTACTTTTTTTTTTTAAATATTTATTTATTTATTTATTTGAAAGGCAGAGTTACAGAGAGGCAGAGGAAGAAAGAAAGAGAGAAAGAGAGAGGGTCAGGGAGGTCTTCCATCCACTGGTTCACTACCCAAATGGCTGCAACAGCTGGAACTGAGCCAATCCAAAGACAGGAGCCAGGAGCTTCTTCCGGGTCTCCCACTCAGGTACAGGAGCCCAAGCACTTGGGCCATATTCCACTGCTTTCCCAGGCCATAGCAGAGAGCTGGATTGGAAGTGGAGCAGCCGGGACTAGAACTGGCGCCCATATGGGATGCTGGCACTGCAGGCAATGGCTTTACCTGCTACACCACAGCACTGGCACCCCAGCTGTTTTAATTACTGCATCAAACACTTCACCCCAAGTTACATGTTTTTTACTTCAACTTAGGAAAAAAAGGGGGTGGAGGGGTGGTTATATTATCTGTAAGATATTCTTTCATTAAGAAAAAAAAGCAGGGACCAGTGCTGTGGTAAAGCCAACACCTGTGATGCCAGCATCGGATATGGGTGGCAATTGGAGCCCTGCCTGTTCCACTTCCAATCCAGCTCCTTGAAAATGTGCTTAGGAAAGCAGCAGAGGATGGACCAAGTGTTTGGGGGCCTTGTCACCCACACCCACACAGGACACGCAGAAGAAGCTCCTGGCTCCTGGCTTCGGCTTGGCCCAGGCCCAGCCATTGAGGCCATCTGTGGAGTGAACCATTGGATGAAAGACCTTTCTCTCTCTGCCTCTCTCCAACTCCACCTTTCAAATAAATAAATGTTTTTAAATTTTTTTTTAAAAACAAGCTCTAGAGTATAATGAAGAGTATATGCCCATTTGTACAAAAAAGAAAAAATAAAATATAACACATATATGCTAAGGCCCCCCAAAAATGGTCTAGAAAGATATCAAAATGTTATGTGATAGGCCGGCGCCGTGGCTCACTAGGCTAATCCTCCACCTTGCGGCACCGGCACACCGGGTTCTAGTCCCGGTTGGGGTGCTGGATTCTGTCCCGGTTGCCCCTCTTCCAGGCCAGCTCTCTGCTGTGGCCCGGGAGTGCAGTGGAGGATGGCCCAAGTGCTTGGGCCCTGCACCCCATGGGAGACCAGGCTAAGTACCTGGCTCCTGCCATCGGATCAGCGCAGTGCGCAGGCCTCAGCACGCCGGCCGCGGTGGCCAATGGAGGGTGAACCAACGGCAAAGGAAGACCCTTCTCTCTGTCTCTCTCTCACTGTCCACTCTGCCTGTCAAAAAATAAATAAATAAAAATTTAAAAAAAAAATGTTATGTGAGAAGTAAGCATTTGGCAGTGGTTAAGACACCACTTGGGATGCCTGCCTCCCCTATCAGAGAACACAGGTTCAGATCCCAGCCCCTTTCCTGATTCCAGCTTCCTGCTAATGCGAACACAAGATAGCAGGTAAGGACTCAAGCAGTTAGGTCCCTGCCTCTCAAATGGGAGACCTGGATTGAATTTCTGCTCCCAGGTGAACCTGGTCAAGCCCTAGCTGTTATGTGAATTTGGGGAGTGAACCAGTAGATGGACATCTCTGCCTTTCAAATTAATGAATGAATATTTTAAGTAAAAAAAAATTGTTTAAGTGACAACTATCAAGGAAACTAAGATAAGCCAGAAAGAGTAAAATAGCAGCCTCACACTTCATTTTGTATCCTTCTATATTGTGTAAAATTTTCACATTGAACCGGCATTCCATATGGGCACTAGTTGGAGTGGCAGCTGTTCCACTTCTGATCCAGCTCTCTGCTGTGGCCTAGGAAAGCAGCAGAAGATGGCACAAGTTCTTGGGCCCCTGTACCTACGTGGGAGACTCAGAAGAAGCTCCTGGTTCCTGGCCTCAGATTGGACCAGCTCTGACCATTGCGGCCATTTAGGGAGTGAACCAACGGATGGAAGACCTCTCTCTTTCTCTCTGCCTCTGCCTCTCTGTAACTCTGCCTTTCAAATAAATAAATCTTTTACAAAAAGAAGAAGAACAGATAGAAAAAGTAGAGGAAAAAAAATGACAGATTTAAATATAACCAATAAATTGGGGTGGATATCCGGCCTAGCAATTAAGAAGTGGGTTATGATGTCTATGTCCCATATCAGAATGCCTAGGTTTGACTCCTGTCTCCAGCTCCTGACTCCAGCTTCCTGCTAATATGTCACCTGGGAGGCAGTAGGTTACACCTCAAATACTTGTGTTCCTAATTCTCCCATATAGGAGAACTATATTGAATACTAGGCTCCTAGCTTCAGCCCCAGCCCAGCCCTAGCCAGCCCCACTCATTGCAAGCATTTGGAAAATGAAAAGCTGACAGGAGCCACCTCTGCCTCTCTTCTTCTAAAATAAACAAAATTTTTAAAAATTTTAAAAATAAACATAACTTGGGGCCAGTGTTGTGGTACAGCTGGTTAAGCTGCCACCTGCAACACCAGAATCCCATATTACTGCCAGCTCATGTCCCAGCTGCTCCAGTTCTGGCCCAGCTCCCTGCTACATGTGCCTGGGAAAGCAGCAGAAAATGGCCCAAGTTGGGCCCCTGCCCCCCATGTGGGAGACCTCCATGAAGTTCCTGGTCCCTGGCTTTGTCCCGGCCCTTTGAGAAGTTAATGAGCAGATGGAAGATCTCACCTCCCTGTCTCTGTAACTCTGCCTTTCAATGAATAGTTTAAAAATATATAGCTAATAAATACAAATGGATCAAGCTGGATGTCAGCAATCTATGTCCATAACAAAGCCCACAGCCTGTTTTTAAGGCCTGTCTCTAAGGTTTTTTACATTCTCACACAGTTGAGACAGATTGAAAAAAGAAAGAGGCCGGCGCCTCGGCTCAATAGGCTAATCCTCCACCTGTGGCACTGGCACCAGGGTTCTAGTCCCGGTCGGGGCGCCGGATTCTGTCCCGGTTGCCCCTCTTCCAGGCCAGCTCTCTGCTGTGGCCTGAAAGTGCAGTGGAGGATGGCCCAAGTCCTTGGGCCCTGCATCCCATGGGAGACCAGGATAAGTAGCTGGCTCCTGCCTTTGGATCAGTGCGATGCGCTGGCCGCAGCGCGCCGGCCACGGCGGCCATTGTGGGGTGAACCAACAGCAAAAGGAAGACCTTTCTCTCTGTCTCTCTCTCTCACTGTCCACTCTGCGAAAAAATAAAATAAAAAAAAGAAAGAGACTGCATAAAATTTTAGTGATATAGTTCAGTTTAGTTTGATAAAACCAAGGAAGAAACTTCAGTCACTTTCGGTCAAATTCAACATTTATAACACGGAATTTCTAGTTTCCCTTACCTTGCCAATACTTTCTTCAAGGGATTCTTTAGACTCAAAGAAAGATAAATGCCTGCTAAAACACTGAAGCAACTTCGAACCACGGGATCACACGCACCATTTTTATCTATCTTCTCCAGGAAAGGCACAATCTATAAACCAAAAAATTTAAAATAATGTTTTCTAATATCAAGTATTGTAAAGTAACATAGTCACAGATATTCCTAAGTTCTCACTACGATGCAACATGTTTTCCATGCTGCACTGTTAAGGAAACTGATTTAAAAATCTATTTTAGTATTTATTAACCTTTTTGATCCATACACCCAGAAAGAATCATAGATCTGTTACTGGTTTAATGTACAGAAAATCTGTAGCACTATTGAAAAACTAGAAATTGTGGCCAGCGCTGTGGCATAGTGGGTAGAGCCACTGCCTACGGTGCCGGCATCCCATATGGGCGCCAGTTCAAGTCTTAGCTGCTCTACTTCCGGTCCAGCCATTACAGCCATCTGGGGAATGAACCAGCAGACAGACGGCCTCTCTCTCTCTCTCTGTCTCTCTATAATTCTGCTTTTCAAATAAAATAAATAAATCTTAAAAAATATTAAAAAAAAACAAAACTAGAAACACATTTAATTACTTTCCAAAACAATACAATGAAAGCTCAGGTGGTAAATCCTACTATTGAAATACTAATAAGGATAATCTTTATATTTTAAATTAAACTTTAAATATACTTGCAAAAATTTTTTGAATATTCAGGTTAATTTTTTAAGATTTATCTCCACAGGGGCTGCTGCATTGGCATAGTAGGTTCAGCTGCTGCTCATGACATTAGCATCCCACATCAGAATGTCAGTTCGAGTCGCAGCTGCTCTGCTTCCGATCCACCTCCCTGCTAACGCACCTGGCAAAGCAGTGGAAGATGGCTCAAGTGTTTGGATCCCTGCCAGCCATGTGGGAGACCAGGATAGTGTTCTTGGCTCCTTGCATTGTAGCCACTTGGGGAACGAACCAGTAGATGAAAGATCTGTGTCTCTCTCTCTGTCACTGTGCCTTTCAAACAACTAAAAAATCTTTAAAAAAAATTATTTCTCGGGCTGGTGCTGTGGCATACCAGGTAAAGCCACCGCCTACAGTGCCAGCATCCCATTTGGATACCAGTTCGAGTCCTAGCTGCTCTACTTCCGATCCAGCTCTCTGCTATGGCCTGGGAAAGCAGTAGAAGATGGCCCAAGTCCTTGGGCCTCTGCACCCATGTTGGAAACCCGGAAGAAGCTGCTGGCTCCTGGCTTCAGATCGGCGCAGCTTCAGCCACTGCGGCAATTTGGGGAGTGAACTAGCGGATGGAAGACCTCTCTCTCTCTCTTTCTGCCTCTCCTTCTCTCTCTGTATAACTCTGACTTTCAAATAAATAAATAAATCTTTAAAAAAAATATTTCCACACACAAAAAAAACAGACAAGCATCTCCTATCTATTTACAACTCCTATTATGGAAAAAGTCTGAATATGGCGTTTATTATAGCTTTAAATAAAAGGATCTTTTACAATGAACAGAAAAGAAAAACTCTATGATAAACTGATATTAAATGATTGAGAGCCAAAACTGTCAGTTAGGGGCCAGCGCTGTGGCACAGCAGGTTAAAGCCCCATCCCACAGCGCCAGCATCCCATATGGACGCTGGTTCAAGTCCCAGCTGCTCCTCTTCCAATCCAGCTCTCTGCTATGGCCTGGGAAAGCAGCAGAAGATGGCCCAGGTGCATAGGCCCCTACACCAACGTGGGAGACTCGGAGGAAGCTCCTGGCTCCTGGCTTCAGATAGGCTTAAGTTTGGCTATTGTGGCCATTTGGGGAGTGAACCAGTGGATGGAAGACCTTTCTCTCTGTCACTCTGTCTGTAACTCTGCCTCTCAAATAAATAAATAAAATCTTTAAAAAAATTGTCAGTTAAATTTCAAATTCATGGCAGCATGATAATCTTCAAGATGTATCCCTGAATACCAACCCATCCTTACCTGTTTAACATAATGGATTTGTGACACTCCATCTGTGAGTTGTGCACATTGTAACAGCAAAGAAGCCAGATTTCTCCCTTCCACATCAGCAAAAGCTACAGAATACACACACATAATTTTAATTATTTACCTCAGTTATGAATGAGTTTGTTTGTCATGCACTTTACAAAATTTTTAAATTATAAACCAAAAAACAGGTAGAATTTAGTGTAGAAATAGAACTTTTAGAAACCATTTTACATCCAAAACTGAATTTAATAAACACAGAAAAATTAAATAGAAAGAGTTTAAACATTATGTGCTGTGGTACTTCAGAGATTAAAATATACTGCTTGTAAATTAGAAAATATTGTATGTTAATCTTATAATAAAGTGAAATCAGAAATCACTTACATCTTAACGTTTCAAGGTCTTGATGACAAATGGTCAATGCAGCAACTTGCATGTCTCTCTTCTTCTTCACACCCATTTTAAATAGAGTTTACAGCAGTCACTACAAGAAAGAAGAGTTTAAGGCATTGTCTAAAGTAGGGTGTCTCAACCTCAGCACTACTGACATTTTGGTCCAGGCCAGTCTTTGTGGAGGGCTGTTGTCCTATGCATCGTAGGAGGTGTACAGCACCCTTGGCCTCACAAGATGCCAGCAGGACCCCTCCTCCTCTCCATTCCCCAAGTTGAAACAACCAAAAAATTGTCTCCAAATCCCCCTGAGGAGCAAAGATTCCTCCTTTGTAGAAGAATAATTTTTTGAAACCTCAAGAACAGTATGTTATTATATAAAGTTACTTTTACCTACTACTTTATATTTTATAATACAGCAAACCCTCATTTCTATAAAAACAAAAGAAACCATCATAGATTTTCCAAACTTCAGTTGAGTCACACTAATCTCAGGACTTGTTAGACAGACATTCCAGGAGACATCATTGTATGCTGATACCTGCAAAATCTTTGGTAAAGGAAACTTTGGTATACTGTGCTTGTGAGTGTACTTGCAAGTCAACAGACCAACGGGTTTAGAACGGGCTAACCAAGCCCCACTATATACACTATACACTAATCTATTCTCTCCAGACTATCTGGAGAGAAGTCACTAGGGAAACGCCACAGGAATCTTATCTTGGCACACTTTGCATTTTTTAGGATTGTTGGCACAAAGATCAAAGGACATAACATTATGCACGTATACAAGGCGCAAAGCTGTGGGGATATGGATGACACAATCAGTACTGAAAACAGTTCAACCAGGCCTGAGTCACGGCAAAGCAGGTAAAGCCACTGTCTGTGATGCTGGCATTCCATGAGCACCAGTTCATGTCCTGGCTGTTCCACTTCCCATCCAGCTCCCTGCTAATGTGCCTGGGGAAGCAGTGGAAGGTGGCTCAAGTCCCTGGGCCCCTGCCACCCATGTGGGAGACCCAGAAGAAGCTCTTGGCTCTTGGCTTTGGCCTGGCCCAGCCCTGGCCACTGCAGCCATTTGGGGCATGAACCAGCAGATGGAAGATCTCTTTTTCTCTCCCTCTCTCTATCTTTCAAATAAATAAAGTAACTCCTAAAACAAAAAAACAGTTCAATGAATTGGAATAATTAGTAATATGAAATTTACCAAGATGAAACAGAAATAAAGGTAAAATGCTCGATTTAGCTTAGAAAAACACACATTGAAGTACAGAATGGGAAAGCAGAGGGAGGTGAAATATGGTTTGAAACAGCTCAAGATGCAAGCCAAAAGCACTCAATCCCTGCTGTAACCCACACGAGCAGACGGCCTGACCAAGGCAGTGCCTGCGTGCTCAGTCTCGTGCACAGGTCAGGAGACACGTGGAGCGCTATGGACCGTGCTGCTGGCCACTTTCATGAGCCGTGATGAGGAACAAGCAGATGTCTGAAGGGCCTAGGGGGCATCTCTTTCAGTCAACAGCTCAGACAGCAAAGGTGTCGAGCCTGGAGAGAAGAGGAGGCCAGGAGACTTACAACAGCTGCTGGACAGCTCCGAACAACAAAAGCAAGTAGATTTCCTTTGTCCCACTAATTTCTTTTGAGTAAGGAAAAATCAGCCCAAGGTTCAGGGAGACAGATTCCGGCTCAGCATGAAAGAACGCTATGGTCCCATGACGGAATGGGCTACCTTGTAAACAGAGAATCTCCCAGCACTGGGACTATCCAAACAGAAGCTGACTGAACACTTTTTTCCCCCAGATGCCTGACAGAGCTCCTAACGCTGTCCTCACTTCTGCACTGGCCTCCATCTCTCCAGTCATCAAATCTACCTTAAACACTAACCAAGCCAAATTGCCTATTTGCTTAAAAACTTCCAAAGGCTCCCAGTTACTGTCAGAATAAATAAATAAAATAAACCCAAACTCAGAAGTTTAGTTTTCAAGCCCCTAAAAGCAGGGGTGGGAAAACTTTTTTTTTCTACCAAAGGTCTTTTGGATATTTACAACATTATTTGAGAGTCATACAAAATGAACAACTTAAAAATTAGCCTCTTAATCCTCTGCCTGTGGCGCCGGCACCCCAGGTTCTAGTCCTGGTTGGGGCGCTGGATTGTGTCCCGGTTGCTCCTCTTCCAGTCCAGCTCTCTGCTGTGGCCCAGGAAGGCAGTGGAGGATGGCCCAAGTGCTTGGGTCCTGCACCCGCAGGAGAAACCAGGAGGAAGCACCTGGCTCCTGGCTTCAGACTGGCGCAGCGCGGCGGCTGGCGCAGCTGTAGCAGCCATTTGGGAAGTGAACCAACGGAAAAAGACCTTTCTCTCTGTCTCTCTCTCACTGTCTAACTCTGCCTGTCAAAAAAAAAAAAAAAAATTAGCCTCTTATATGAGACGTATTGAATTTCACATCCTGCCTACAGCTGCCTTGGCAGGGTCAGACCAAACGATTTCACAGGCCTTATACAGCCCCCAGGATGGACATTTCCCACCCCCGGGAAATAATCCGGTCTTGCCTTCCTCTTTGTTGTCAAATCGGTCCCCTCTTCACCAGCTCAGGGCTTCATACCTCCTCCTGAGGCTCTTATTCCCACCTAAGGGGAATCAGGTATCCTCCCACATCTGCACAAGGCTGGCTCCTTCTCATCACTCAGATCTGCTTCGTATCACCTCCCAAGAGTCTTCCACGACTGCTCTATCTAAAACGGCACCACTCTCACACACACACACACACACACACACACACACCACTTCCATTTCTTCACAGCACTTTACTGAAATTGGGATAACCCATACATTGCATATTGTCTGACTCCCCTAGCAGTAAACTCCATGAAGGCAGCAACTTTAATCTGTTTTGTTCATTTTGATTCTCGATTCCTAACACCGCATTTGGCAAACAGTGGGTGTTTAATAAATTTGATGACTAAATCAATGACTCAATTAACAAACAATGGTCAGAGACGACATAGAAGGAATATATCGCAGAAAGGTAGACGATCTGATATCTGAATTCAACTCTACATCAAAGTGACATGCTTAGCTCTAACACTTAAGAAACCATGGTCCATTTGGGATGTAAAAAAAAAAAAAAGGAAAAAGTAAAGCAATGCTTTAATAGCATGTGAGCAACCACTTAACCAAAAATGCTACTAAAATTGGAAGCAGCTGGCCTGGCATCGCCCAGGGAGGAATTCAGTAAGTTACATCCAGGGGAATGGCTGAGGCTCACTCCCTAGGGAAGTGACCACGGTACAAAATGAGAAGGGACTGAGAAGGCAACCTGGGAGCCTGCTCTCTGGTGAATGATGAGCTGTAGCAGGATCTGATCTTGGAACCCTCGGGACTGACACAGAAATGGACTCGGTGGTTATGCGAGCTCACGGGGTGTCACACACGTGTGTCCAGGAGAACTGAGCCTCCACCCCAAGGTCCTGCTTAGGCGGCCGGAGGTGCCCACCAACCTCTGCTCCTGGGTCCCACTTACAGCTTCCCTTTAGAACGCGGTTAACTCCCACCTACACCTTTCTGGCTGACGCCCACAAACATTCTCTGGGCAATTTCCGAACCACGTGGAGTGGGAGGAATGACAGGTGAACAAACTGGTTAAAGCGCTGTCTCCATGGAGATCTACGCGACCGGAAATCAGTTTCACAGTCGCCCTACGCGGGCGATACCAAAAGGCCGGAATTGGTGCGACCCGCCAGATGGTCCTAGCAAACCGGCCGGCTGCGCTGAGAAGATTGAGTGGCGCGCCATCGCGGGTCTGACAGGCATCACGCCTGGGAGCCGAACCTAGTGCCCGTGGGCGTCCGAGCCGAGCCGCGGCCGTCCTGACGAGTCCCGGAAGCTGGTCTAGTTCTGCCGCTTCTCCGTGGCCCGCAACGTGGTCTGTGATCGACTACCGGGTCGCCGAGGAGAGAGGGAGGCAGGGCCTGGAGGAGGATTCATCGCGATATGAAGCGGGAGCAGACCCTCCAATTAGGAGGCCGGTCAACCGTGATGTCACCGCTGGTGGGCGTGACAAGCGGATTTGATTGGACGGCGAGCCACCGGGGCGGACCGAGTGGGCTGGAACCGCGCCCACGGGACTTCTGCGCAGCCTGGACTGCGGGCTCTGCACCCACCTTGTGTGGAGGAGCCTGTCTACCTCAATCAGGGCCCTCCTCCTCCTTCTTCCCACGCGGTTTACCCGGCGCGGAGATGGGGAGAAAACCAGCCCCGGCTGCGGGGACTAGGAGCCCGGCGCCTTTGGAGCCTGCGAGCTGGGGGAAGAGGACTGGGCAGGAACCTAACCGAAGCGGCGCGAAGAATTTGGGCTCAAATGAGAAGTGAACGGACGTGTGCCGGGGTGCACCTGCTCCTTCAGCAGACCGTGAGCTGTGTGGTCGGGGCGTCGTCCCCGCGTTAGGATACGCGTATTACGCAGCTCGCGCGAGTTGTCAGATTCTTTCCTTCCGAAATAAGCGACAGCGCCGCGCACTCCTCGAGGCGCCGGGGCAAGGGACAAGATCGGGAAACACGCGATGCCATCTGAGCAGCGGTAACTCGGCAAGTGCTGGGAAGCATCCTTTCCCCGCCCGATCTTCCTCAGACAGAATGATGACTTTTTAAGCGATGGCGTCTCTGAGTTGCCTTGTTTTCTGCGTCACTGAACCAGATACAGTTTTGTTTGGTTTTGAGCCTTATTTCTGGAGTTGGATGTGTATTGCCCAGCAGTTTGCTCCTTTGAGCATTGTTTTTGGGATTCGCCCACATAAAAGCAGGTGGCTGTCATTCTGTCATTCCCTGTTGCTCATTATCCCATCGATTAATACACTACAGTTAGGTGTCCATGCTGCCACCTGCACACGTGGGCTATTTCCAGCTTTTCCTCTAACAGTGCTGCTCTTGAACTCTTGTGCATCTCGACTGATGAGTGTATGTGGAACTTTCTCTACAGTAATTTTCTCTAATATTTTTAACGGACTGCTAGTAAGAAATGCATTCTACTTTGGGTCCAACTACATATAAGTACACAAACACAAATGAAATAAAATTGTCTTAAATATTTGTTACTCCACAAAGGTTCTGAGACTTTGAATTTCTGCTTTAATTATGGTAAAGTACACGTAAAATGTTTTATTATTACAGTTTTTTTAAAAAATTTGTTTTTTCAGTCCCACTGAGATCATTACATAGATCTCAGTGGATCCGAAGCCCTTTTTGGTTCTGACTGAACCATTTGAAATTAAGGGACAGACAGTGTCACTCTTTAGCCCGCACAATGGTGGTTGGAGTTGGAAACAAACACAATAAACATTTAGGTTAAAAGGTGATGAATGCTATGGGGTGGGGAGCTGGAAAATGACACGGGGGAGACTTGTTGCCTGTTAAATAGGATGGTCAGGGAGGCATCACTGAGTAAAGATTTGCAAGCGATGTAGGAACGGAGTGATGTAGGAACGGAGAGGCGAAATCCAATGCAAAGGACCTGGGGCAGGAGATTGCCTGTTGGGAGAACTGCAAGGAGGTCAGGGTGGCAGGAGTGAGGTGAGCAAGGGAGTAAGTAGCAAGGAATAAGACAAGGGAGTTCTGATTATGTAAAGCCTTCGGGTCATTGTAAGGACTTTGATTTTCACTCTCCAGTGACATGGGGATTCATTTTGAGCCAAAGATCAGTAGGATCTAATTTACATCCATAAAGCATCACTGGAGGGGCAGTCACTGTGGCCCAGCGGGTTAACGCCCTGGCCTGCAGTGCCAGCTTCCCATATGGGCACCCGTTTGAGACCCGGCTGCTCCACTTCCGATCCATGGACCCCTGCACCCATGTGGGAGACCCAGAGGAGGCTCCTGGCTCCTGGCTCCTGGCTTCAGATCGGTGCAGCTCCGACCATTGTGGCCAACTGGGGAGTGAACCATCAAATAGAAGACCTCTCTCTCTTTCTCTCTCTCTCTCTCTCTTTCCCTCTCCCTCTCCCTCTCCCTCTCCCTCTCCCTCTCCTCTCTCCGTGTAACTCTGACTTTCAAATAAATAAATCTTTAAAAAAAAAAAAAAGCATCACTGGAGCCACTTAGTTCAGAAGGGACTATGATGGGTGCAAGATTAGTGAGGGGTGGCGGGTTGGCACTAGGGTTACGTCGTTGCTTGGGACACCCACATCCCATTTCGGAGTGCATAGTTCAAGTCCCAGCTCCTCTACTCAGATCGCCTTTCCTACTGCTGCACACCCAGGAGGCAGGAGTGATGGTTTGAGTGCTTAGATCCCTGCTGCCTGTGCTGGAGACCAAATCAAATTCCCAGCTGCAGGCTGTGATGGACATTTGGGAGTGAACCAGTGAGTTCTCTCTTTCTCTCTATGCCCCTCTGCCTTTCAAATTAAAAAAAAAAAAAAATGAAAAGATAGACAAGAAAGAAAAGAATGACCGGTGAGAAGGCAATTGCTGTGCACTGGGCAGGTGCTGCTGGCTTAGACAAGGAGCATAGCAGTGGAGGGTGAGAAGTGCACAGATTGTAGATATTCGGTAATTTGGAAGTAAAACTAGTAGGATTTTAGGAAGGATAAGAAATAAGGGAAAGAAGTCAAAAATATGATTCTGAGGTGTCTAGCCTGAGCAGCTGAAAGGATGAAGTTGCCATTCATGGAGTGGTGGGGAGAAGAGAAGTTTACATGAAACCGATTTGAATGGGTTTTAAAGAGACTCTAGAGAGAAACTGTCAAGATCAAGTAAAGTACTCTAGTACTCTAGTACTCCTACTCTAGTACTCCAGGACTGGATACTTGGAGTGGTGGCTCCTGGGGGAAGTAGAGACAAGAGAAAGTTTGCTTGTAAAGGCTGAGCAGTAGCACAATTGAATAAGATATCCTTTTGGTTTTGTTAGCTACCTGGCAGCATTTCTAACTTGAGACTGCTTCAACTTTTCTGCTTCAGTTTTTTTTTTTCTTTTAAGACAGTAGCACTGCGTTGAACCAAAAACTTTTTAAAAGTAACTGTATAATTTATTCATAAAAATGATCCCATGGGCAAGAGTTAGTCATCCTGACTCTATAAAAGTATTAATGAAAACACAGTTAAATGACATGGTAAAAGTAAACTAAATAAAATCATGAAAAGTAATCCCTCAGGGCAGGCACTGTGGCACAGGGGGTAAAGCCATGACCTGCAGTGCCAGCATCCCATATGGGCGCCAGTTCAGGTCCTGGCTGTTCCGCTTCTAATCCAGCTCTGCTATGGCCTGGAAAAGCAGTAGAAGATGGCCCAAGTCCTTGGGCCCCTGCACCTGCGTGGGGGACCCAGAAGAAGCTGCTGGCTCCTGGCTACAGATTGGCGCAGCTCAGGCTGTTGCAGCCAATTGGGGAGTCAACCAGCAAATGGAGGACCTCTCTCTCTCTCTCGCTCTCTCTTTCTCCATTTCTTCTCTCTCTTTATAACTCTGACTTTCAAATAAATAAATAAATCTTTGAAAAAAAAAAAAGTAATCCCTGTACATATATTTTGTGCAATGTAGTATTGCATTTGTCGCAGGTTCTCGCCAAGGGTCTGTATGCCACAGCCACCCATCCCACCCTGTGGCTGCCTGATCACAGGGCCAGGCCATTTGGAGCCTTCGCCTTTCTTGGCTTCCAAGGCTACAAGCAAAACTTTGTGGCCTCTTCGTCAAGATCATCAACAGGATTGCCGGAGTTCCCCAGATCCCTCCAAGATATTTACTTGAAGCCGGGATCTCTGAATCTACACCCCCACTCATCTCCTAAAATCCCAGTTAGTTCTGGAGGTGACTGATGTCTTAACGAGATTTCTGAGTCCAAGCAAGGGAGCAAGAGAGATCCAAGGACACATAGACCACCAAGCTCCACTGCCCCTGAGGCTTTCGTGGACACTGGCTGATGGCCCATGATACATTACCTCGCTTCTTCAGTTCTGCCTCTCCCCTCTGCCAAGATCATCTTGATTTTTGTTGCCTTCATTGTTGGAGATTACTTCCTTTGCACTGAGCCCCAGAGCCTCAGGGTTTGTGGTTTCAGTTGGATTTCTGTTCACTTCTAATTGTCATTCGCTTAGAAATAGAAATGCTTCTTTGGGCTACTAACTTTTGTATCAGGGAACTGTCTTAAATAGTAACAAAGTTGTGGAGCTGGTACCATGACACAGCTTATAAAGCCACCGTCTGCAGTTCCAGCATCCCACATAGGCACAGGTTTGGGACCCGGCTGCTCCACTTCCAATCCAGCTCTCTGCTGTGGCCTGGGAAAGCAGTGGAAGATGGCCCAAGTCCTTAGGCCACTGGAGACCTGGAAGAAGCTCATGGCTTTGGATCAGCCCAGCTCTGACTGTTGTGGCCATTCAAGAAGTGACCCACCAGATAAATCTTTTTTAAGAATACTGGAATAATACCTACTGTGCCACCTTGATGTGAGAATTCAATGAGCTATCACATGTAAGGAGTCAGTCACCGTTTCTGGCACACAATGTGCTCGACAGGTGGCCTTCTGTTGTATTTTTCTCATTCACCTTTGATCCCAGACCTCAGACCCTCTGGGTAAACTGAGCTAAATCTCCCCAGACACGTCCACGTGGCCAGCCTGAGAGCTGTAAATGTATTACCTTCCTTGGGAAAAAGGACTTTGCAGGTGAGATTAACATGCATTTTTAAAAGATTATGTTTTTGAAAGGCAGAGTTAGAATTGGGGTGGGGGGGAGAGAGATCTTCCATCTGCTTGTTTACTCCCCCAAAATGGCCACAATGACTGGAGCTGGGCCAGACCTTAGCCAGGAGCCAGGAGCTTCTTCCAGGTCTCCCACGTGGGTAGCAGGGGCCCAGGGACTTGGGCCATCTTCTGTTGCTTTCCCAGGAGCATTAGCAGGGAGTTGGCTCAGAAGTGGAGCAGCCAGGACTCGAACTGGTGCCCATATGGAATGTCAGCACTACAGATTGTAGCTTAATCTTACTGTGCTATATCGCCGGCCCCTATATCACA